CTCCCTGTAAGGAGCCTTCTACAAGGCGTCTTCCTAGCTTGTAGCTGGGTGGCTGGAGGCTCCACCTTCTCCCGCTTAGGGAGAATCCAGTTGTTTCCTCTCTCCAGGCTTCACTGGGCAGCAGCACTCTCCCACAAGCTGCCAGAGGGGCTGGGCTCCCCTCCTGGGTCCTCCCTGGTTCAGATCCCTGGTGCCAATAGCTGAGGCTGAGTCCATGCTGCCACCTACTGACACCGCACACAGGACTTTCTCTTTCTCATTCTTCTTCCTGCTCCAAACGCAACTGCAAATGCCCCTTTGTGTTCCTGAGTGCCTCCACAAAGCTCGGGGCAATGTCCTCGGCCTTAGAACCAGTCTTCTCTCAGATCTGCTCTTCCAAGAGCAGAGCTCCCTGGAGAGCCACAGTGCTGTCTCTTTAGGCGATCTCTCCCATCGTTACAGCAGGACCATTTATGGCAGCCACTAGACCCTCATTTCTAGAGCCTTCCATTGTCCTGGGGCCAGGGAAAGTCCTTTGTCCTAAACTTACTGGAGCTGCCTTCTCTAAGAAACCTCTGCTTTCTCCCTTAATAAAAGGACACCCCATTCGACTGAGCTTGTTAATGGAGGACAGGCTGGAACTTTCAGCCCTGACTCACTTCCTCCAAAATTCCTCTTGCCGTTGGGAACTTCCATAAAGTATGGCCACCCATGGAGCTGGTCTCACTGGAACTCCAGCCAGCTGTGAACTCAGAATTCTCCCCTGCCCCACCTTAAACTCCAGCATCACGGCTGGGGAGTGCTGACGCATTTAAACAAGACTTTCCAAAAGACTCAGGTTTGCCAGCAGGGCCATCAGACATAGTGGCCTGGTGCAGGACACACTCCCCTCCCTGTTCACTAGGGGAGACTCTCCCATTCTGCCCCCAGGCCCCACACCTTGGCCTTATTTCACCAATTAGGATAACTGGGTGTCGGGGGAGCATAGAGAGGGACAGTCACTAGAAAAGGCTTAGATTTGCTTGGAGGAGAAAAGGAAGGGAGACAGAAGAAAGAGGATGGGAAACAGAGTCTTGAGCCTGCATGTGAGGACTGGGAAGGAAGGGGGAAACCTTTGCTATGTAGTGGAAGATGCCAGGCGCCAAAGAAAAGGGGAAGAGGGACTGAAGAAGTGCTGCTGGGGTTATGAGCTGGATTCCCTTTAATATTCTTTCAAAAGATGCAAGTAGATACTGGGATTTATTTATTTATCATACTTGGTTCATGGACATTGTTTCTTTGAATGCAAAACTGTGTTCAGGTTGAGCCTCGTGAGAACCGGGATTTTTTCAGGATATACATGCAACTTGGATACACATGCAGTCTGGCCCATGAGCTACACCCATCTCACTCCCCTTCCTCATAGATCTCCCGGCCTGAGCAGGTCAACTGCATTCCAACTCAACACAGCAGGTCTAACAGTTGTCCTAAGCATGCTCAGAGGAAGTGGCTGGATTGGCACTTTAATCACCTTCCAAAAGTCTAGGAGGTGCATCAGGGAAGATCCAGCCTCTCCCCTCCTCTGCTGTATCACAGCCCGGTATGAAAATGTCACCTGCATTCAAGACTGCTACATCTATAAACAAACGATCAGCATTCCTCTACCAGACATGCAATGAATCCCATTCAGTGGTTCTTGACTTTGGCGAGGCATTCGTAGCTTTAAGAAAAAACTCTTGGGGCCTAGGCTGCAGCCAAGACTGATTCAATTAGAATCTCGGGGCGTGAGACCTACGAATCTGTAGTTGGGAAAACTCCCCAATGTACAGCCAGCTTGAGAACAATCGTCCTTATCACTGATTCATTGCAGGTTTGCTCATCAACCAAACACACACAAGCCGAACTCTGAGAGTGAGCTTCCAGCCTCTGGAAGATACAGAGCATCTGACATTCATGCTTATCAAGAGCCCTCAAGCTCCTGAAGAACTTTCTGAGCACTTAAGCATCAGCTACAGCTGGAATCAGTTTGGCAAGACACATGCACTGCTGTCTTTCTGCAGACACAAAACCCCAGCTCTTGCAAAGCCTCAAAGACCCCAGGAATACCGCACATGTTATCAGTGAACTGGACCATAAACTTGGCCAGCCGGTGGCCTCTGCTGCCCTTCTGCCTAGCTCCAGCCTCTTGGCCAGCACCTCCATTTCATTTTCTCAGATGCACACTCACCAGGGCCACGGCCCCTCCGTGGATCAGCCATTCCCCACAGGCCTCCCTTCCTTCGCCATCACCACTGCCACTTTTGCCACAGGCTGCCCCCTCCCGTTGACCCCCTCCTGTTGCTGCTGCCACCAAGGCACCGGAACCAGTAATCTATCACAAGAGTGAGTGAGAACACCTATCTTTTCCACTTTGGATCCTAAAGCAGGGGCCCCAGGGCAGGCGCATTGCTGTCCTACTCTGGCAGTTTTTAAGCAAAGTCCTCACCCGAGGTACTCCACAACCAGGCCTGGGGGACTCACCGCTCCACCCCATGACTATGCCCTGCTGCCTCTCGCTCCTCCTTGCACCAGCAATCTCTCACTGAATCCCTAGGACACAGCTGAAGCTCAAGGGAGGGGTCCCTAAATGCCCTGATACACTTGGAAAGTGTCATATCGTAGCAGACCAGTATTCTGCAACTTTCCTCACTGTAAGGCTGGATACAAGCGGCACAGCTGGGGAAGATGGGTTAGGAGGGAGCCGGGGTCACCTTGGGAATATCACCCTACCCCCTCCCTCTAAGCTGGGAAGTAGGAATTTGCAGTGGGGGTGCTGGGGGTACTCTAGGGGCACCAGGGGTCTGGAAAGGGCATAGAAGTTGAGTGACAAATGCATGGGGGGACCTCATTTGTTGGGGTTTTAAAATATATATTTTCTAAAGTTTGGGACTCCTGTAACAATTTTTAAAACCTGTGTCTTAAAGCTACATACACAAAAGCAGCGGTCCTCTGGCTCTCTCCCCACATCTCCAGGCCTGCTCTCTAATGTGAGCTCCTAGGTGTTTAATTCATCATCACCTGAAATGTGCTCTTACCCCCTCCCTTAATTCACTGGATAGCCCCTAATGACTCCTTGCTGATAGCTGAGCATTAGATACTCTCCGCCCCTAATATTGCTGGGGTCCCTCTACTTGACTGTCCATGATGTCTGGGGAGACTGTTGGCATTCCAATCCCGTTCTCCACCTTTCCTTCCCAGGCTTCTGCCTCTACCCAGGGTCAGTGGTAGCTTTAATTTTACCAAGATTATGAGATGGAAATAAGTGCCCAGATTTCAGAGGAATTTAGACCCTAGAAAGACAAGACACAATAACTGGTTGGATGTAAGGAATAATCAAAAGGGGGGTGCCCTGGGTGGCTGGGGTCTCGGCTTGCGCAACGGGGCAGAGAGTGGGGTGAGCTACTGAGAGGGGAGGAGGAGGTGCTGAGTTTGAGGTGCCAATGGGCATCCATGTGGAGCTGTTAGAAGGTCATTGGCCATGCTGGTCTGGCAGGCAGGTGCGAGCATTGGGTATCAGCTACCCCTGGGGGGTAACTGAAGTCAGGGGCATGGCTGAGAGCACCTGGGAGAATACACAGACCGAAAAGAGGAAAGGGCCCAGCAGCAAAGCTGGAGGAGCACCACACCCAAGACAAAACAGAGCCTGCAGAGGAGAGGGAGGAGTGCCCAGAGCTGCACCAGAGCAGGCAATCTTTCCAGGAAAGACTGGGCCCGGCGCCAGTCAAGAATAATAAGGACTAAACACAACACTGCACCTAGAGGCATGGAGGCCACTCTGGTACTGGCGGGGAAGCGCAGGAGGTGGAGTGAAGAAGGGGCAAGGAGGGGGTTGAAGTTTAAACAAAGAAAGCAGAGGAAGGGGAGCCGACAGTTGAAGAGGGAAGTGGATGGAGTTTTCTGAGATGAGAAAGACCTCATTCAGGGTGTTTCGTTCAGAAGGCAGTGGATGCATTAGAGATGCAAGATAGATGAGGAGGAGGAATGAGGCTTCCAGGGGGTCAAGGGCTGGGGCCAGGACACAGGGTGAGTCCTGGAGGCAGGCGGACATCCCTTCCACCCTAACGAGGACAGGGAAGGGATGTGATGGGGATCTGTAAATAGGGAGCAAGATGTTAACTGTCCCTATGCCATTGGAGAGCTCCTGTCTTCTCCCTTGGGCGGAAGGTGCTACCACCAGCTGAGGGTGAGGCTGGGACACGGGTCCAGTGAGGAAAGGCAGGCGGGGGCTGCCCTGCAGAGCAAAAGGATATGCTGGGCAGAGAACTAAGGAGCCCTTAGTAGTTACAGACAACCACTCATAGTTTTCCCAGGCCTTTCTCCCGCAGATCTCGGCCTCCAGGTGGCAGCACAGAGGCGACAAGCACCTGAGTCCTTCCAGGATTTTCTGCTGGGCAGGCAGCTGTGATCCTGATGAAAGATGGGATGAAATGGCGAGTGTGCGGGGCTGGAGGGAGGCAAAGGTAGAACCTAGAGCTCAAGGAACAGGAGGCTGCGGTCAGAGTCCGAGGGGGCCAGCTGAGGGACTGACAGTGCTCAGTGATGGCGAGGTGCAGGGCGCAGCCATGGGGCAGGCAGTTGTCGGGGGGAATGGGGTGATGATCCCTGAGAGGTCAAGGAGTGGCTTGGCGGGCAGGTCGGGGGATGTAGAATTCACTCAGGAGGAAGGCAGGAGCTGAGCAGGGAGAAGAAATCTGGGAGGCGAATGCTCACATCTGCCCTCAGTGAGGGTAGGCAGGTAAGTGTCTGAGATGAGCTGGGGAGCATAGGGCCCACCCTGAGAGGGACAGAGGATCCTCACAGGCACAGAGGATCTTACCAGACGGCCAGGAGGGGGATGCAACAGTCCAGGAAGCACGGGGCCTTGACCCTACCTCCCACCTCTGATGCCCATAAGTGTGGGCAGAAGAGGGGACATGGTATCCCCACAGGAGAACCAACTTCCACCGTAGAGGAGCTGGATCCATCAGAGAACATGATGGTCATGGAATAAGGGTTCGCAAGGGTGATGGTTCAACAAGTGTTTATTGAGCAGCCACGTCTGCCAGGTCTTGGGATAGCCAGTCCCTGTGCTCGTGGGCTTACATCCTGGCAGAGGCCCCGTGGAAAAGCTTGGGGTGGGGATCAGGGCATGGAAGGCTGTGCTATTTGCCAGGGACTCAGAACACAGGAGGGTGCAGGGGTGACAAAAGTTTCTTTCTTGGGTAGAGTCCTGGAGTGGCGGCTTGAGTCTCAGTCATGCCTTAGCCTTCCCCTCTCAGCCAGAGAAGACCCATGTCTCCCTGCCCAGAGGTCCATGCGTAGCCATTCATTCACTGAGTCATTCCTTTACCAAGAATTAACGAATGCGTACTCTGTGCAGGGCCTGAAAGAGCATGGGCTAGAGGAGGCAGCTCAGGGGCCGGGCAGGGGTGTTGGCTGCAAGGTTGTAAGAGAAGGGTAGCACTCTCAGAGGCCTGCTTGACGGGCGCCTGGGACTGGGCTGATGGGGGGCCTTTCTGGGGGACAGGGTGGTGGGAATGTAACTGGAGAGGCTTCCAGAGGCACTTGCACTTGAGAAGCCTCCATGGCGCCTCTGACAGAATCCCCAGGGGAAACACCGGTTCCAAGAGTCTGGGCTCTGCCTCCCCCTGCCCCCACCATGGAAGAGTTACCAAGCTGGGAATTCACGGAGGAGAGGGGAAGGGAAAAAAAGTGGTTGAGCCACTGGGATAAATAGGAGGAGCCCCGGAGGGAGCGGCTGCGGGATCGCACAGTCCCTCGTATCCGGCAGGGTGGGCAGATGCCCCTTTGCAGCTGGGCAGGATGTTCCTGGGCACTGGCAAGATGGTTGAGGGGCCCTGTGGTGGCAGGAGTGCTGGCTTGGACCACATGGTGAGACCAAGCCCGAGTAGGGACCCGATGCAATCGAGGGTGCAAGCGGAGGGCGTGGCGAAGGCGGATGGCTCTCTGTGCTCTGTACAACAGGTAGCGGATCCCACGGTGGACGGCAGGGTGCTCCTGGTGATCAGGAGGCTGGCTGTGAGGCTCAGCATCGGGGACGGCAGCCTGCTCAGCGGGCTGGTGGGGAGGCCAAGCTGGGGGGTGGTGTGTGCCACGGGGCAGGCTGGAGGCTCCTTGTGCTCTCAGCAGAGACTGGGCTGGCGAGGACTGTGGCTCGGCGGTCTCCATGGGCTCTGTGCACTTTCCAATACAGAACCTCAGACTGAGGGCTGGAAGAGACCTCAGGGGCCACCCAGTCCAACCTTTCACTCTATTCAGATCCCATTTTCCCCTGGACAGGTGATGGCCCAGCCTCTAGTAATAAACCTCTAGGGACAGAAGGGTCGCTACCCATGAGGCCACCTGTTTCATTGTGGAATGGATTTACAATTCTTTCTTACATGGATAGAGTCAAACCTCACTTGTTTGGCCCCTGAACAGCTGCCCTGTGGCCTCACACCCCTTCACTGGCCCCCACTGGCTGCAATAAACCAAGGAATGGATTCTTGTCCAGCCCTCCTCACTGAGGACTTAGAGGACAGTAAATGCATAAGGAAGTTCCAGACAAAGGCCTTGGACATTCCAGAAAAGAGACAGGGCTCTGGACACATGCTATCAGCGTTTCAGAAGAGTACATATGGCTACTGAAGGCTCCTGCCCCAGTGTAGTGGGAGGGCTGGGGTGGTCCAGGCATGCAGCTAGCATTTGGAGACTGTCCTCAGCACAGCTTGGGACTCAAGGCCTCACTGGAAAATTCCCCAGGTGCAAGGCAAGTCTGAGAGTTACCTGCTGTGGCTGTGTCCCCTGGGACCTGAAATGGGGGGAGGCAAGAGTCCTGGGCTGAACTTCTGGGCTACTCACCGAGTTTTCGGCATCTGAGTCTTCCGAGCTGCTGATCACCACAATGCGCTCCTCTGAAACGGGGAAGCAGAGATGCATTATTAACTGCCCAGGACACACGCTGGGAGGGTGTGGGTGTGCACCTACTGGAATCCTTGCAGACCAGTGGACTGGGGACAACGGATGCCCTGCAGGGGGATGGGAATAGCCACTGTGTGTGCCAATGTGACTGCTTTACACTTGGATTTGTGTAATTCACAAATGGGTTTCCATAATTTCTTGCTGTGCCTTATCTATGAATATTCAATTAAGTTATTTGCCCAGAATTCAGAATTTGCCTCCTGTACAGCAAGCCTGACAACCACTACCTGGTCTGGAACCTTCTGCAATCCTAAAGAAGCACACTGTTTGTCCCCATTCGCAGCTCCATGAGCTGGGGTGTCTAGACTTAAAATATGCTTCATTTAGTTAATCAAAACCCATCGATTACCAATAGCATTTGTGGGTAAGGAATATCAGTCAGTGCTCAGTGTGTGACCAGGGCTGGGGCTTGGTCAGAATGAAGAACAAAGCTGTACTCTGGGTTAAGCAGATCCAAGAAGAACTCTCTTGTTCCAGATTTCTCTGGGTTGACCTCAACTCCTGCCCAACTGACTACCTGCCTGGCAGTGTTCGTAGAAGATAACTCTGACAAATGAGATACCTAGGTAGGTGGCCTTTGTAGAAACACTTGGGGAAATGATGGGTGTAGACTGAGAGAGCAGAGTTAAGGTCACGGGCAGTCCAGTTTCCTGTGACGGTATGCCCAAGTCCTCTCTGGGAGTATGCTAGGCATCAGCCAAAACTTCTTGTGGAGACCTGCCCTGTGCAAAGGCACAGTACTGGGCACTGTAAGATTAATGTTTGGGAGAAAGGACTCATAGAACTGTGCATTTTAGCCTGTCAGGCTCCCCACACCTTAATCATGGCAAAACACACGGTAAACCGTATCCACTCTCACCCCCAGGCACACTGTGAACTTTCCCTATCTTATTCAGTGGGAATAAGGGACTCCTGTTGGCTTTGTGCTTTGTGGATGGGGCCAAAAATACAGAAGAGGGGCCCCACCCAGACCCTGGCAGGCAGCAACTGCCCTACCCACCTCCCTACCTGCCTCCCCGGTGCCACTGGCCACGTGGTTGCTGTTGGGCGGGAAGACCTCACTTCCTATGACGGGGCTCCTGGGGTTAGGCGGCCCATCCAGGTGGGGTGGTGAGACTGCCTTGGAGGTGCTGGGCCTGGGCTGCTCCGGGGAGCTCCGAGCCAACCTTGCCTCCTTCCCCTCCTCAGACTCCATCTTGATGACCTTTCTGGGGCACTGGGTCTGGCTGTTCTTCCTCTTCTGGGCTGTGGTTGTATTGGAGACATCCTGCACAGAGGGAGTCACAGAGCCAGGTCAGATGCCTCCAGAGGTGGGTGGGCAGAGCCTGCCCTGAGTGCCAGGGGCTTGTGACCACCCTTTTGCTCCTACTGTCCCCTCTCCTCTGCTCTCAACCATGCAGATCACGTCTCTCTTCAGACAGGAAGTCTTCCCAAACTGGTACTGTCTGCTGTCCACCAGTCTCTGCTGGCCTCTGACAGCCCTGGGTGTCTCAGCACCCCTGCTGGGCTGGGAGTGGGCCATGCTTTTGGGGAGCTCCCTGACCATGCAGCCAAGAACAGGGCAGAGCACAGAGAAGGCGCTGAGCAAAATCTTTCCCACGAAGAGCTGATCTGATGAAGGCCTGGATTCCCACCCCAGTGCCAGCTCCCTTTCCTGGTGGAATCGAGGCCTTCAGAAGGGGAGGCCGGGGCTGGGGAGAACCTTACCTCTCCGTAGGAGGGGCCTTTGATGGAGAAGGCGTACACTGGCACAGGGTGTGCCCCGGGCACTGACTGTACCACAGCCATAGGCTGGGCTTCAGCCAGCCCCAAGGCCTGAGCCTGGGCCTTCACTCTCTCTGCCTCCTCGGGCTGCAAAGTTGGGAAAATCAAGTCAGAAATGACTAGGCAGTAGCCCCAGGACCAGGTACCCCAGACCTGTGGTTGGCCCAATCCCTGGGGCCTCACCGAGTCACAGGTCCAGGTTCCCTGACTCACAGCTCTGAGCTCACTGGGGACAAGAAGTCCTCCAAACTCTCCATCACATCACTTCCTTTTTAAAAAAAAATTTTTTTGTAGAGACAAGCTCTCACTATGTTGCCTAGGCTGGTCTTGAACTCCTGGGCTTGAGCAATTCTCCTGTTTCGGCCTCCCAGAGTGCTGGGATTACAGGCATGAGCCACCGCGCCTGTCATCACCTCCTTCTGACTCTGAGTTACTGGTGCCTAGGGACCACTTTGGTTCTTGTGTGTCCTAAGAGGGCTGGAAGATACCCCAGGAATCACAGTGCCCGACGCAGGACATGCTCAATAATTAGCCCAACTTATACACACACCTCCAGGGACAAAGTGCTCACTACTGGCGAAAGCAGCTCCTGTAACAATGAGAAAATCTTCCCATTGAGCTGAAACTGGCCTCCCTGGGACCTTGCCTCTGCCCTCTCAGCCTTAACTCTACCTGGGTCAGCTACTACACTAGTTGGGTGAATTGCTTAAAACTCCTTAGGCCTCAGTCCCCCTCTATAAAATGGGAGTAACAACATCTACCTTATATGGTAATGTGGATGAAATGTGTTAATACAAGTAAAATATAAAATACCTGGCACTTAGAAAATGTCGTTGATGATAAATATTGTTCTTATTACTACTCTGTGCCAGGCACAGTGCTAAGTACTTCATGTATCTATCTCAAAATTAAATAGAGGCAGTTTCTTAAAAGACTAAATGTAGAATTACCATAGGACCTAGCAATTCTACCCCAAGTGTGCACCCAAAAGAAGGGAAAACAGATGGTTAAACAAAAGTTTGCACGTGAATGTTCAGAGCAGCACTATTCACAATAGCCAAAAGGTAAAACAAACTAAATGTGCATCAACTGATGAGTGAATAAACAAAAATGTGGTAGAGCCATGTGATGGAATATTATTAAGCCATAAAAAGGAATGGAGGACTGAGATGTACAACATGGATGAGCCCTGAACGTATTACATTAAATGAAAGAAGCCAGCTGCACGTGGTGGTGCGCATCTGTAGTCCCAGCTACTTGGGAGGCTGAGGCACAAGAATCGCTTGAGACCAGAGGCAGACATTGCAGTGAGCCAAGATTGTGTCACTGCACTCCAGCCTGGGGCACAGAATGAGACTCCGTCTCAAACAATAATAATAATAATAATAATTAATTAATTAAAAAAAAAAAGAAGCCAGACACAAAACACACATTGTATAATCCTATTTACATGCAATGCTCAGAATGGTTAAATCCATAGACACGGAAAGCAGATTGGTGGTTGCCAGGAAATGGGGGAGGGGGAAATGGGACTGCTTCATGGGTAAGGGGTTTCCTTTTGGGGGGATAAAAATATTCTGGGGCTAGATAGGTGGCAATGGCTGTGCAAGATTATGAAAGTACAGCAGGCTGAGGTGTGACAATCGCCTCAGCCTCCCACCTAGGCAACATAGCGAGACTTCATCTCTGAAAAATAAAAAGAAAAAAATTTAACCATTTGAGCTGGAGCTGCAAAGAAAAAAAAAATTAAAAAAATATTATGAACGTTAATAAATACCACTAAATTGCACACTTCAAGAGTTAAAATGGTGAATTTTATATGAATTTTATCACCATAAAGATTATAGTTAAAAAAAAAAAGTAGGTGCCATACTATGATTATTGCCAATCTTCAGAGAAGGAAACGGAGGCAGAGAGAGGTGAAGTGATTTCCAAAGGTCACATACCTCGGGACCTCTGGCCTGGCTTGAATCCAGTGTTTTTTGTTTGTTTGTTTTGAGACGGTCTTGCTCTGTTCCCAGGATGGAGTGCAGTGGCGCGATCTTGGCTCACTGCAACCTCCGCTTTCTGGGTTCAAACGATTCTCCTGCCTCAGCCTCCCAAGTAGCTAGGATTACAGGCACACACCCCCACACCCAGCTAATTTTTGTATTTTTAGTAGAGACAGGATTTCACCATGTTGGCCAGGCTGGTCTCAAACTCCTGACCTCAGGTGATCCGCCCACCTCAGCCTCCCAAAGTGCTGGGATTACAGGCATGAGCCACTGCACCCGGCCAAATCCAGTGTCTTGAAATGGAGGCCTCTTCCCGCCCCAGCGTGCTCTTCATTTTCTTTACTTGCTGAGTCTTTTACATCCTTCCCCACCATCTTTCTCTCTTATGTGAACTTTAAACGTCCACTGGACCAATTGTTGAAAATGAGTGAGTGGCAGGGATATGCCTTCCTCATGGGGACAAGCTCTGTCCCTCCCATGTGGGCCTTCTGAGAACCACCCAGGCAAGCTGGGGCTGGGCGAGGAGGCTCCCCACAGAGGCTGCTGGGTGTGTGAGTTAAGGCAGGGATGGCCCCAGCACAGTGCTGGCTCCTGGGTGTGCCAGGTACCAGAACCCCGCCGTGGGTCCTTCTCTTGGGCTCCACACCATTGGCCATGATGGATTGACCTCCTTCCCTCCTCCCTTCCTTCCTTCCTTCCATTTTCTCCACATGTTTAAAAAGAAGGAGGATGATCTCTGCAGATTAGAGAGTGTGAGTCTGTCTGGGGAAGGAGAGAGAACAGATGATCTCCCAGGATCTGTCTCTGCCAGGCCTCTAGGAGAGTCTAGTCACTCTTAAGGCCACTGGTTTTCAAACTGCAGCTTGTGACCCATTAGTGGATCCAACCATGAAAGCAATTTAGTGGGTCATGACCAACATTATTATATCAAAAATAATAGTATAGAATAGAAATATTATCAGAGTATATCCCATGTAACAATCATAATTTATTTTGTAAAACTTTTTTTTTTTTTTGAGGCAGAGTCTCCTTCTTGTTGCCCAGGCTGGAGTGTAGTGGCGTAATCTTGGCTCACTGCAACCTCTGCCTCCCAGGTTCAAATGATTCTCCTGCCTCAGCCTCCTGAGTAGCTGGGATTACAGATGCCCACCACCAAGCCCGGTTAAGGTTTATATTTTTAGAAGAGACTAGGTTTCATCATGTTGGCCAGGCTGGTCTTGAACTCCTGACCTCAGGTGATCCACTTGCCTCTGCCTCCCAAAGTGCTGGGATTACAGGCGTGAGCCACTGCGCCCAGCCTATTTTATAAAACTTCTCCTTTAGCTACAGTATGTGTGTGCATATGTATACACTATAAGTTAAGATGTAAAATATATACATTTTTAATAGAGGATAGTGGTCAAAAAAGAGTTTAACCCACCTCATACACATTAGAATGACTATTATTTAAGAAAAAAAGAGAGAGAGACAATATAACAAATGTTGGTGAAGCTGTATTCTCTCCAGTCAAAACTTCTATACAGTGCTGGTGGAAATGTCAAACTGTGCAATAAAAAATGGAAAACAGCATGGTGATTCCTCAAAAAAAATTAAAAATAGAATTACCATATAATCCAGTGATTCCACTTCTCAGTAAACATGCAAAATAATTGAAAGCAAGGTCTCAAGGATATATCTGTACACCGTGTTCACAGTAGCATATTCACAATAGCCAAAAAATGGAAAAAGCCAAGTGTCCATCAACGGACGAATGGATCAACAAAATGTGGCATATACACATTATGGGATATTATTATTCAGCTTTAACAAGAAAGGAAATTCTGACACATGCTACATGGATGAACCTTGAGAACACTGTGCTAAGTGAAATTGGCCAGTCACAAAAGGACAAATACTGTGTGATTCCACTTATAGGAGGCACCTAGAGTAGTGAAAATCACAGAGACAGAAAGTAGACAAGGGTCACCAGGGCTGAGGGGAGGCAGCTTGGGGAGTGACTGTTTTATGGGGACAGAGTTCCAGCTTGGGAAGATGAAAATCGTTCTGGAACGGGTGGTGGCAATGGCTGCACAGCAGTGTGAATGTACTCAATGCTACAGAACTGTATACTCAGTATACACTGAACTGAACATTTTGAAATGGTTAAGATGAAATATTTTATGTTATGTGTATTTTACCAAAATTAAACTTTTTTTTTTTTTTTTTTCCAAAAAGGAGTTTAAAAGGTCCTGCTCTATCATTCTGTGTCTGGCTCTGCAAACTGCTGGTATGTAAAAGACCCTCTTTCCAGACAGGTCACGAACTCCCCAAAGGCCGGGCTGGCCTCCTCTCTGCCTCTGTCCCAACCTCCCTGACATACCCTCCATCCACGTTAATAAAACAGGGAACACACCAGAGGGCTCAGTAGAGAAAAACACATCATAATGACGGATTTATAATTTTTATAGCTTTAAATAATAAATTTATTTTTTTCCATTAAAGTATTATAACATGATTACAAAAAGCCTATGAGAAACAGAGGAGGGAAAATATCCGAGCTGCTGCCACCCCACCCAAACAATCCTAGTGAAGCCTGTTGAGTTTTCTCTTCATCTCTTCCAGGCATATAGTTGCAATGAAAGTAAACAAACCAGCAGTTTCAAGAGGGAGGAGCGCTGGAGCTAGATGCCCAACTCCCGCCTTCTAAGGCAGAAACATGGACCCAAGAGCTGCTTCTCTCCTGGCACAGCTGATGGAGCACTTTCCCTTAGGACAGCCGTCTGTGCCTGCCTCACCTGTCCTTGCACTCACACTGTGTTCCCCACTTTCTTCCCTCAGCTCCACTGCCATCCCCAGGCAAGGACTGAAGCCAGAGGCTCCGCAAAAAGAGCAACCCTCTAATAGTCCAAGTTCAAACTGCTTCCTAGCTGATAGTGACAGGCCACATCTATTCTGATTTTATCAAGACAAAGACCCAAAATACCTAGACCTTCACACAAGACAGTGCAGGCTCTCTTGCTGTTCATTCACCAATGACTAGCACCTGGAAGACAGCTGAGTCTGTGGACCAAGGGCACTTCCCCATTATTATTTTGATTTTATTTGTTTGTTTGTTTTTTGAGACAGGGTCTCACTCTGTCACTCAGGCTACAATGCAGTGGTGTGATCACAGCTCACTGCAACCTCAAACTCCCTGGGCTCAGGTGATCCTCTCACCTCAGTCTCCTGAGTACCTGGGATTATAGGCACATGCCACCACAACTGGCAGATTTTTTTTTTTTTTTTTTTGAGACGGAGTCTCGCTCTGTCGCCCAGGCTTGAGTGCAGTGGCCGGATCTCGGCTCACAGCAAGCTCCGCCTCGTGGGTTCACGCCATTCTCCCACCTCAGCCTCCCGAGTAACTGGGACTACAGGCGCCCACCACCTCGCCTGGCTAGTTTTTTGTATTTTTTAGTAGAGACGGGGTTTCACCATGTTAGCCAGGATGGTCTCGATCTCCTGACCTCGTGATCCACCCGTCTCGGCCTCCCAAAGTGCTGGGATTAACTGGCTGATTTTTACACTTTTTGTAGAAACAGGATCTCACCACATTGCCGAGGCTAGTCTCAAATTCCTGGGCTCAAGCAATCTGCCCGCCTTAGTGTCCCAAGGTTCTGGGTTTACAGGTGTGAGCCACCATACCCAGCCTTATTATTTTATATTATTTATTTGCAAACATCATCCATTGTAGCATTGTTTGTAATAGCAAAACAACCTAAATATGCAGCAACAGGGAGCTGGCTAAATAAAGCCTGCCATATCCACTTAATGGTCCATTATGCAGGTATCAGGAAGCTCTCTACCTATTGATAGGATAAGAATTCTGGTATGATGCCGTGTGTATATGGTATTGTGCTACCTTTGTGAAGCACAGAATGCAAAAGGCAAATATCTGTAATAATATTTGCTTGTAATTACATAAATAAATTGTGGAAGGATATATAAGAAATTTAAAAAGAGGCGGGGTACGGTGGCTCATGCCTGTAATCCCAGCACTTTTGGAAGGCTGAGGTGGGTGGATCACTTGAGGCCAGAAATTTGAGACTATCCTGGCTAACATAGCAAAACTCTATCTCTCCTAAAAATGCAAAAAATTAGCTGGGTGTAGTAGTGCACACCTATAATCCCAGCTACTCAGGAGGCTGAGGCATGAGAATGGCTTGTACCCAGGAGGCAGACGTTGCAGTGAGCCGAGATTGTGTCACTGCACTCCAGCCTGGGTGACAGAGCAAGACTGTCTCAAAATAAATTTTTAAAAGATAGTTATATGGGCATAAGAACTGGGGGCTGAAGTGGGAGTAAGACACTATTAATCACTTTCTATGTTTTTATTTCTGACTATGTGATTGTATTATGTGTGTATATATATATATATATTTTTTAAAGTCCTCTTTTTACTTTGAGGTTGTGTATATAGGAATGCAGTACCCAAGGCAGTTAAGAGTCAGCTTTTAGGCCGGGCGCGGTGGCTCACGCCTGTTATCCCAGCACTTTGGGAGACCGAGGCAGGCAGATCATGAGGTCAGGAGTTCAAGACCAGCCTGGCCAATATGATGAAATTCCATCTCTACTAAAAAATACAAAAATTAGCCGGGCATAGTGGTGCGTGCCTGTAGTCCCAGCTACTAGGGAGGCTGAGGCAGGAGAATGGCTTGAACCCTGGAAGCAGAGGTTGTAGTGAGCTGAGATTGTGCCACTACACACCAGCCTGAACAACAGAGCGAGACTTCATCTAAAAAACAAACAATCAATCAAACAAACAAAAACAGAGTCAGCTTTTAATCTTGCCCCTAACTTGCTGTGTGTAGCCTTAGGTAAGTCACATCCTCTTTCTGGGCCTTAGCTTCGTCCTCTGTTTAAAAAAAAGGGGGTTAGACTCCATGCTCTCGCCTGGCTCTAAACCTCTGAGACTCTTAAGTCCTGTCTCTTCCAGGAAGCCTCTTCTGATTGCCTCAACCTACAGCACTCTCTCTCTCCTATGGGTCATGCCATGGCAAAAGCTAGGCCCCTACCCACCACCAGAAGACCTGCCGTCCATGAAGGACTGGCCAGTCCTGGGGCCAGACCCTTGATAGGCTAGGTGCACACAAATCTGAGTGACCAGGCTGGGGAAGAGACCAGACGCCAGGTCCAGAAGAAACCGAGGATGCTTATTCTGGTGGAGAGGAGCCATACTTGTGAGTGCCAAAGGGGGCAAGTCAAAGGGACACCACTGCATTTCCACCCAGAGAAGCACTTTCTAAGTCAGAGCAGTCCAGAGTTGGGAGCAGCTGCCTCTACAACGAGTAAGCTTCCTGTCCCTGGAGATGTGTACATGAAAGCTGGACAGCCACGGCTCAGGGATGCTGCAGAGGGAACGCCAGCATTAGATGGGACGTAGATACCTTCCAACCCTGAGACACTCTGGTTTGTTACATGTATGGTGGCCCTGGAATCACACCAGCAGAACCTGGGCAACTGGGATCGAGATCTGACTCCTGGCTTCATTTCCCATTCCTTTCCAAGAACCACCTGTGGGGAACAGCGGGGAAAGGCCCACCTATGCTGACTCCAAGAGAAGGCTCACACATTGGGGACAGGGTGCAGGAGGGGAGAGGACATCTGCCACATCCCTTAGGGCTGCTGACCCTATATCTAACCATACATCTGACAACCATAGTTTCTCATGGCTGGAAGGCACCCATATGCCATCTAATGCTGGAATTCTCTCTGCAGCAGCCCTGATCTGTAGCCGTCCGTCTACCCCACATCTAACCCCCACTGAACCTGGCTCATGGACCATCAAGAGCAACTTCGGCATTTAGGAGTCTAAAGTCAGCCAGGTAGCCAGCCAACCCTTCCTTAATGTCTTCCTTTACTTCCTCTCACTGAAATTTCCAGTCCAGCCACTTGCTGTCCCTCACTCAGACACTCTCCCTGCACACACAGGGATAGCAGGACTCACAACCTGCCTGACCTGCTGGGGCCCACCGCCTCCCCTTCAGACCTCAAACCCATCTCACCAAGTCAACGTCAGTGGGATCCCTGGGAGTGCTGGCAGCCTCTGGGCTGGCTTTCTTGGCTACAGCTGCATCTGTAGAACACAGAGAAGGTCACAGACAGGTCAAGGAAATGCTGGTAAGGGACATCCTGACCTGGGACAGTGATAGACAGGAGGTCCCTGTTGCTTTTCCTGGTTACCCATTTTCTAGGGTATCCCACAGCACTGGACAACTCCCTGGAGGGGCAGCTGGAAGGAGAGCTCTCTCGAATTCAGTGGGCAGGAACCCAGCCAGAAGGGAAAGAGAGGTGGCATTACAGTGCTTGCTTTTGGCTCCAAACTCCAAGTGCACCTCTCTCCATCTCTGAGCCACCAGCAAGGCTAAGTGTGAGCAATCATAAAGCCATCATTCCCAGCTCACTGACTCTCTGCATATAGTGAGAGCTTCATGATCTTCCTTATCTGCAGGCTGGTTTTTATTAAATCTAAATCTCTTATGCTTCAGAATAAAATAACCCTTCTCTCTGCCACTGCCCAGTTATAACACCTAAGACAAGCTGTGTAAACTCTGTGGGGTCACTTCCTTAATATGGGTAACACTCACTGCCTAGGTGGAGAAGGCACAGGTCCAGGCCCTCTAAGATTATCCTTTATGATCCATGTCCAGCTCCAGGAGAAGTAAGAAAGCTCTCTGTCACTGGCACATACCCAGCTGCCTTCAGATTCCGTAGCCTCCCTCCCCTTTCCCAGTAAGGGCGTCCTATACCAGCTGCTCAGAGCTCACATTCCAGCTTGGAGATTTAGTCAAAGAGTCCTGGAGACCCTCCTGTGCACTCCCCTCACCCCTTACTTTGAAAGTCCCCTTATTCCAGCTAATACACAGCTGCCACATCTCCCGGATTTGGATTGCAGAGCTGAGCACTGTCTCATTCTCCAGCTATGTGATGTGGCTCTGGCTCCTTCAGATCAGAAACTGGTCTGTGTCTCCTTACCTTTCAAGTGCCCAACACTAGGCAGGGCGTGCAAAGGTTGTCAGACAGCAGGTCATCCTAGAGACAAGAGGTCTCCTCCACTGAGTCACTGTACGGTTTTGGGTAAGCATCCAATCATCTCCCGGAGGTTTTCTTAGCTCCCTTCTACCCTAACCCCAGGTCCCAATTGACTTCTCTGTTCCGAGACACTGGTGGCTTAAGAGAACCTCCTGAAGTGGTTGGTCCCTCTGGCGCCAAAATGATACTGGGTCTGATTCTCAGCTTTGCAGTTTTTCGTTCCCCATGAGTCATCGCTAGGTCAATCCAGAGTCTTGTAAATTAGTAAAACGTGTCCCCTCTGGGTGGCTGCAGCCCTTTGTCAGGGCCTTATCTCCCCCTTATCCTGTGTCCTGGAACCTAAGACCTTACCAAATCCCAAAGACTGAATAAAAACCCAGTTTCCTTTTCTGTCAAATGGAGACGATCTCTTCTGACTCGCCTTCCCTAGGGTGCAGCAGAGGCACAGGGCGCCCAGGATGGTGGCTTGCGTGCTTACCTGTCCCCTGGGTGATGCAAGAGCTGAGGTCCTGCAGGCGCACCTTGAACTCATCGAAACCGTCCGTGCGCACAGCGGCTTGCAGGCTCTGGGGTTCCTCCTGGCGCAAGTGGCACAGCGCCTGGCGCAGGAAACTGTGCATGTCCAGCACCTCCTGGTCCGATGCGTAGCACTTCATCCTCTGCACCAGCGCGCTGCCAGTGCGGATGCGCTGCAGCACAGCGTCCAGGCGGCCCAGCCGACTGGCCATCTCCTTGTAGTCGCGCTGGTACCGTGCGTCCACTGCCTCCAGCAGCTCGCGCTCTTGCGCCTGCAAGTGAGCTACCACCTGGCGCACGCGCGCGCGGATCAGCTCCTCGATCTCGGCGCGCGCGCGGCCCAGCTGGCCGACAGCCGCGTGCATCTGCGCGTGCACCGCGCCAAAGGCACTATCCTGCTCCTGCAGCGCTTGCGTCATGGCATCCAGCTCCTCCTGTCGCTGCTGGATCTCTGCGCTGATGTCGCACTTGAGCTCACTGTGGCCGCTGTCAAGGAGAGCGCACGAGCAGCACAGCGGCTTGGAACAGCCTCGGCAGTAGATGCTGTGGACACACAAGGTTGGCCTGGGTTAGGACTCTCCTGACTTTTTCCTCTTAAAACGTTCGTTATAAAATTCCTTTTCCAAAATTACCAGACTTTGAATCATGGCGTGTTTCTAGGTTTCTGCTTTTCCCAATTCATTGTTTGTGGTTATGGTGATAGTATCCAAACTACCAATAACACGAGTATAAAAAGTTACTACAGTAACAATTTCAACATCCGGGAAACAATACAAAGATATACAAAACGACAATCATCTCTTTCCACCACTTCTGAATTTCCCTTCCTCACTGAGGAAGCACCAGGTAAGCATTGTGGGGTGCACCCTTCCACACCTCTCTCCAGTGAAACCGCTTTACACAAATGCCAGACTGGCAGCTGCTTGCAGGATGGTACAGACTTGACACATGTCAGCCATGCCACTTAACCTTTGCGAGAGCCCCTTGGATGAGAATTATTGTTATGCATATTTCCCAGAGGAAGAAACAGAACATGTTAAATGATAGACCTGGATATCTACAATTTTGGGGGTTGACGTTTGTCAAAAAAAAGAAAAAGAAAGAAAAGAAAGAAATCGGCCGGGCGCGGTGGCTCACGCCTGTAATCCCAGCACTTTGGGAGGCCAAGGCAGGCGGATCACCTGAGATTGGGAGTTCGATACCAGCCTGACCAACATAGAGAAACCCCGTCTCTATTAAAAATACAAAATTAGGCGGGTGTGGTGCCGCATGCCTGTAATCCCAGCTACTTGGGAGGCTGAGGCAGGAGAATTGCTTGAACCTGGGAGACGGAGGTTGGTGAGCTGAGATGGTGCCATTGCACTCCAGCCTGGGCAACAAGAGCGAAACTCCGCCTCAAAAAAAAAAAAAAAGAAAAAAGAAAGAAATCAACTCATATAATTACTTTGTAACTTCCTCCTCTTAACAAACTTTCACTCAGAGCATTCCTCTAGGTGCATAGGCACAGATCAGATGTATTCTCTTTAATAGCTCTGGTATATCCCAGATGGGCTACAATTGATTCAATCACTCGTTTCGCTGGCATTCAGGTAATTTCCTGTTTGTGCATTTTCTTTCTTTCTTTTCCTTTCCTTTTTTTCTTTTGGTGCCAATATGGACAACACTTTAGTAATATCCAAGTTATATAGCCTAAACATGGATGCTTTTGTTCCTATGAAATAGATTATAAATATAGGCCTGCTAGATCAAAGTGTTTGTATTTTAATATTTTTATTTGGTTATTTTTTTTTTTTTTTTTTTTTTTGAGACAGAGTTTCGCTCTTGTTGCCCAAGCTGGAGTGCAATGGCGCCATCTTGGCTCACCACAACCTCCATCTCCTGGGTTCAAGCGATTCCCCTGCCTCAGCCTCCCGAGTAGCTGGGATTACAGGCATGCACCACCACCCCGGCTAATTTTGTATTTTTAGTAGAGACAAGGTTTCTCCATGTTGGTCAGGCTGGTCTTGAACTCCCGACCTCAGGTGATCCATCCGCCTCAGCCTCCCAAAGTGTTGGGATTACAGGCGTGAGCCACCACTCCTAGCCTGGTTAATATATTTTAGCTAGCAGATACTTCCATAGCATTTATTGTGTATCAGACACTATTATAAGTGTTGGCAAATATCAATTCATTCAATCCTCCTGACAATCCAATGGAATAGATAACATTATTATCCCCATTTTAAGGATGAGAAAACTGGTGCAAGAGGCGAAATAATTTGTTCAAGGTCACACGATTAGTAAGTGGTAGAGTCTAGATGCAAACTCTAGTAGGCAGAATAGTGGCCTCTAAAGATGTCCACGTGCAAATTCCTGAGACCTGTGAATATGTCACCTTACTATGGCAAAAGGGTCTTTGCAGGTGTTACTCAATTAAGGACCTCGAGATAAAGAGATCATTCTAGATTATCTGGGTGGGTTCAATGTAATCACGTGAATCCTTACAAAGGAAAGGGCAGGCAGGCAGAAGAATGAGAGGAGATGTGATGAATGCAGAGGTGGGAGTGTTGTGATGTTGCTGGCTTTGAAGACAGAAAGGGGGCATGCACCAAGGAATGTGGGCAGCCTCTAGAAGCTGGGAAAGGCAAGAAAACATTCTGCCTGAGAGCCTCCCAAAGGAGCAAAGCCTGCTGACACCTTAATATACCTCAGTGAGACCTGTTTCAGACTTCTTACCTCCAGAACCATGAGAGAATACATTTACATTGTTTTAAGCCCCTAAATTTGTGGTAATTTGTTACAGCGGCAAAACAAAATATAAAAACCCGGCCGGGCGCGGTGGCTCAAGCCTGTAATCCCAGGACTTTGGGAGGCCGAGACGGGCGGATCACGAGGTCAGGAGATAGAGACCATCCTGGCTAACACGGTGAAACCCCGTCTCTACTTAAAAAAAAAAATACAAAAAACTAGCCGGGCGAGGTGGCGGGCGCCTGTAGTCCCAGCTACTCGGGAGGCTGAGGCAGGAGAATGGCGTAAACCCGGGAGGCGGAGCTTGCAGTGAGCTGAGATCCGGCCACTGCACTCCAGTCTGGGCGACAGAGTGAGACTCCGTCTCAAAAAAAAAAAAAAAAGAAAATATAAAAACCCAGGTAGTCCAGCTCAGAGTCCATGTTCTTAACCATTACAAGGCTGCTTCTTCAAATATTACCAGGGAAAATACTGTTACTTCCGCAGAAATATTGCTGTAATTTACCCTCACCGGCAGTGATAAGAATAAGTCTTGGTGGCCTGCGCCAGTAATCCCAGCTACTCGGGAGGCTGAGGTGGGAAAACTGCTTGAACCCAAGAGGCGGAGGTTACAGTGAGCCAAAATAGCACCACTGTACTCCAGTCTGGTCAACAGAGCAAGACTCCATCCAAAAAAAGAGGAATTAGCCCACCTGAGGCCAGAAGAAAGGGTCTCATCTAGGACCATGTTGAGATCAACTTGTTCTGGAACCAGCAACAGAGAGCCTACTAGCCAGCCAGACTGATACACAGTGCTCATCAATGCTACGCTTAATTAGAAATACTAAGCAATTATGAAAAGAACTAATAACTCTGAAGACGGCAATTTGGCAATACCCATCAGAATTACAAATGCATTTATCCCAGCAATCCTCTTTCTATGGATCTGCTCCACAGCTCTATCTCCACACATAACAAGATGATATCCATACAGTTTATTCACTGCAGCACAGTCCACAATAGCAAAGAATTAGAAGCCACCCACGTGTCCATTACAAGGCAATTAGTTACATAAATTATGATCCACCCATACAACGAATACTATGTAGCTGTAAGCCACTGAGGAATCTATATAATGATAAGGAAAATTCTCCATGGAGAAATGAGGTTAATAATAGGAGTACTGGAAGGATTAAATGAGTTAATATATGGATGAAAGTTTGAAAAATGACTGGCATACACTGAGTGTTCAATAAATGCTAACTATTTGTATTATTATGATATATATTTTAAGTTAGAAATCAAGGTGCAGAAATGTGTGTATCAGATACTACCTTTTGTGTAAGAATGGGGAAAAATAAGAATATCTTCATATTTGATCGTATTTGAATAAATAAATCTTAAAAGGACACACAAAAGTGGCTACGGGATGGGTGGAATGAGGGTAGAGTAAGACATTCACTGTATACCTTTTTAGATTATGTTTGAGCCTTGTGAATGTATGAATGTATTCCTTTTTGTTTGAAATTAAAAAACAGAATACTAATAAATATGGGCAATTCTATAGGGTATAGGAATAAAGGGAGGAGAATAAGAAACAGTTGTCAGTTTCCCACTTTGGATCTTGGACCCTTGGGGAGAGGGGCTGTGTCTGATGTTGGATCCCTTTCCTTGGAGGCAGGGCTCCAAGCCTGGAAGGGCACGCCTCAGGCAGCCTGGCTGGATAGAGAGCAATACCTTCTGGATGGCCATCGCCTCCGCTGTGTCCTTTTTCTAAGCTTCTTTTGTCCTGAATGGGGTCTCCTTAGGGAGACTGGCCCCTGCTCCCACTCCACATGGAAATGGGTAGCAAGTGTCTGTGAGGTGGCCAGCCTGAATCAGACACTTGGGTCTAAAAGCCCCCAGCCCTCTGGTAAGACTGAGGTGCAGACCCTGAATCAAAGGGCTGCCACCCAGGGCCAGGAATGACCTTAGCCAGGCGGTTCCTTTACCTTCATTCAAAGGACACTCACTGAGTACCTACTGTGTGCTTGGCACTTTGGAGGAGGCAAAGGTGAAGTGGGCAACTGCCCAGAAGGGCTCCATGACAAGAACCCAGACTTAACTGTATCTTCAGAAAGGCAAAATAATTATTTATTTGCTTCTGGAATACTCAAAATAATGAGGAAAAACACCACTAACTTAGTAAGAAATTGCTCACCAAAGTGGCTAGGTTACATAATAATTAAGAAAGAAAAATAGCATAATTCTATCTTAGCAAAGCAAACGAAAAGAAATATGGGGAAAATTCCATCTTCCCATTCACAGCAGCTATTTAAAAAATTCTACAAAGCCATGGTTGTGTGCCTATAGTCCCAGCTACTAGGGAGGCTGAGGTGAGAGGATTGCTTATACCCAGGAGTTCAAGGCCAGCCTGGGCAACATAGCAAGAACCCCATCTCTAAAAAACTTGTTTTTAATTTTAAAAAGGTACAAAATACCTAGAAAATTACAAAAACCTACTAAGAGATAAAGTCTAAAAAAACAGAAGACTGTATCAAGGTCCCAAAAAGAGAGACTAAATATTATAAAATTATTAATTCTCCTTGAGTTAATAAACAGGTTTAAGGCAATTAAATTATTTTTGAAACTTAACCAAAGTATTCTAAATTTCTTTCTTTTTTTTTTTTTTTCTTTTTGAGACTGAGTTCTTACTCTGTTGCCCAGGCTGGAGTGCAGTGGCACAATCTTGGCTCACTGCAACCTCTGCTTCTCGAGTTCAAGTGATTCTTGTGCCTCAGCCTCTCAAGTAGCTGGGACTACAGGTGTGAGCCACCATGCCTCGCTAATGGTTTGTT